TTTTTTTGAATTTTTGAGTCTCGGTTTTCAAAATTGAATATTTTAATTTTCAAATATATTATTTTTTGATATTTTTTTAGCCTCCTCTATAAATATATATGTGGTACATAGAAATATTGAACGGTTCAAATGGTTTTGGTGTCACCTATTTTAAACTTATTATTTAATTATTTTAATTATTATTAATTTCTAAAATATTTAATTATTATTAACTGAACATCTCTATTGTCCTAATTCTTTTCTGCCATAATCCTTTCTGGCACAAAGATCTTCTACTGAATCCTTAAATCATCTTCATCTTAGTTCTTCAGATTCGTTCTCCAGCTCCGTGCAATAAGTTGCGTTCGTTCTTCAGCTTCGTGCAATAAACGACGTTCGTTCTTCAGCTTCGTTCGTTCTTCAGTTACTATGTCTCGGCATTCTGAAGCAAGTAGTTGAACCAAATCTCCCTCCGTCCATGACGAATATAGATGTGGTCTTGATGCACGGTTGATGACATCATGGACTAATGCTAACCCAGGACGCTGTTTTTACGGGTGTGTGATGTATAAGGTTATAAGCTATCTAAATTTATGTAAATTCCATCTGTAATTTTCACCAGTTATCACTGAGAATTGCTGTAAATTTCTTATGTAAATTTATGTAGATTCAGGGGTGTAAGCGATGCAATCATTTTGTTTGGTATGATGAAGAGATAGGCCCTAGAGAAAAAGACATGATTTCAACATTGAACCAGAGACTAAATATTGCAAAGTTCAAAATTGATGCAGGAAAGATCTAAGAAGATGAATTGAACAAGAAGATCAGGAATTTGAAGACTGAGATAAAGTATTTGAAGTTATCGATTTCTATGGTTGTTGTGTTGGTAGTAAGACTAGTTGTAGGATTTGTAATGAATTAGGATGTCAAATGTTGTTCAATGTTTTGTCTCAGTTTGTTCCAAATGTATCCGTTAATGTAATATCAATGTTGTTCCAAATGTAATTTCAGTTTATTATATTAAGATTTATATGAATGTTGTAACATTTTGTTTCAATTGTATAAGTTATATCAATGTTGTTCCAAATATAATTTCAGTTCGTTATATCAAGATTTATATGAATGTTGTATCATTTTGTTTCAATTGTATCAGTTATATCAATGTAGTTCCAAATGTAATTTCAGTTTGTTATATCAAGATTTATATGAATGTTGTATCATTTTGTTCCAATTGTATCAGTTATATCAATGTTGTTCCAAATGTATCAAGATTCATATGTTCATTATAGGTCATTTTTAATGGTTTTGAGGTTACAGATAACAGATAACAGTTTGTTATATCCTACATCCAATTCATTAATGCTTTCATGACAGATAATAAAATGTACCAAAATAACAACACAAATTAACCATAAAACTTGTTCATTAAACATAATACCATAATAACATTACAACTTAACTATGGTACTTGTTCATTACTGGTTAACCAAAAGGTACCCAAACTAAAAAAAGATACTTTATCATTGCTCATAATACTTGAGTATTACATTACAAAAGATATTCAAACCAACAATAAATATTTATATAACACTACTGCTGAGATGGTTATGTAGGTGGAGGGGCTTGTGATGAGCTTCCAATCTCAATTTGAGTTGTCTTTTTCTTCTTCTCTTGGCCACCCTTTTTAGACTTCTAGTTATTGCCACTTTTTAGAATGGCTCTTTCAGCAGCCCTCTTTCCCTCACAAGTTCTTTTGTTGTGACCCATTGCTCCACACTTATGATAAGTGACAATTGCCAATCTTCTAGGAAGAACACGGGGATTATTTGGTTTATCGTTAGTCCTGTTTCTCATTTTCTTTGGACGACCTATAACCCTTCTCATAACTGGTGGATTCACAATGGACTGCTCATCCAAAGGCCACAGTTGTGGACCATTAGTAGGGTAAATAATGTGTGAGTAAATGTTCAAGTCAGATTGCAATTAAACATAAACCAGTCAGATTGCCATTAACATAACCCAGTTAGTGTTTAACTGATACCTGTAATATTGAGAAAGATATTCTTCAGGTTTTCTCTTGATTTGCCACATACATGTCATAGGATGACTGCAAGGGATGCCCGTTAAATCCCACTTCCTACATGCACAAGTCTGTTTCTTTAGATTAACAACATATGTGTCTCTTCCATTAGTCATACCATATATTTTCATGTCATCATCACTATGCCATGTAGGAGTCCAATGATCTGCATTTGATGGAGAACGTTTGATCACAACACTGTTATTAGGGTTAGATTTCAGTAACTCTTGGGCATAGCTTCTCAAATGGTTGAATTGATCCATAACAGTACCTTGTAACAAATCCATAGCATTTCTTTTAGTTATATATGCCTGATCATGTGACAACTCCACTCCCTATCTATCAATAGCTTGAGCAATCAATCTTGCTAGCTTCATATCCTGTTATTTGGAGTTCTAGAATAGTTGTGTTCATCAACTAAACTAACTACTTGCCAAAATTGATTCCCAGCCCTTTTACTAACCCTCATGTGAAAATTGCATCCTTCTATACATTTCATCACCATCCTCCTTGCATCAATTTTCTTAACGTAAACATTTTTGTTCATCTTCAAAGCATAGTCTGCCACAACCTCATGAACCTTTTATTTGTTACTAAACTCTATACCTAGCTCAAACTTTGAGGAGTCATTTTTAAAAGAAGGAAACTTCTCTTCTTCCTCATCACTGCAACTCTCATTAGGTGTATGCAACACATCAGAATCATCACCATCCTCATAATTTATAGCCTTATCACCAGCCTCATCACAATGAATGACATTTGTCCAATCCAAATCCACATGCTCTTCAACATTGTCACTTTCAGTATCATGCCCATTAGCCTCATGACTAGAACTACTTATCTCACCCTCACTTACAATATAATATTCATTATCACCGTCATCACTGTCATCTATTCCAAACAGGTTTACTTCCAACTTCAACTTCAGCCTCAATAGGTTTACTTCCAACTTCAACTTCAGCCTCATCATGATTACTTATAATTTCAACATCAGAGTCAACTTCATCATCGACATAGTTTAGACAGCCATCAACATTATCCAACAAGAGTCACTTCTATTAAGTTCTCAACATACACATCCACCAATTCAAAACCCTTAATATCCTCAGCCAACTTAAAAACATCACGATCACAATTTAGGGGTCTAAGGCCACGACTAAAGCTATACTTGGGGTTCCAATACCATATACACTTGATATTCCTATATCCCTCCTCCTTTACCAGATTTTTTAAATCCATATACGACATGTAATCTGTATCCCACTTCCAATCCAATTCAGACACTAATCCATCAACATACCATTTAACAGGACTCTCTCCTAACTTTCCCCTATGATGAAATCTTATCTTAATGCAATGATTTTGAGATGGTCTGAATAAATAACAAACTTTCCATCAGAATACTGTACAAAACATGGTGAAAACAAGATGAGGAAAAATAACGAGTTCAAAGAGCATATCTCATACATAAACAAACATCTTCTTTTCCTGTCGAACATGATGGAATGGGTGGAATGTTGCTCATCTTCGCTGCTGCTTGGACGAACGGTGGAAGATGAAGATCTTTGCAAATCTGGGTTTAGAAGATCGTTGCGCAAGAGAGGATTAGGGCAGGAAAGGGTTAGGGCAATAGAGAATTATCTTTGCGCATGAGAGGATATGGGTTTATAAATACAATCATTTCAGTTAATAATTAAATATTTTTCAGAAATTAATAATAATAAAAAATAATTAAATAATAGGCTTAAAATACGTGGCACCAAGGCCATTTGAACAACTCAACATTCCTATATGTCACATATGCATTTTTGGAGGGGAGCTAAAAAAATGTCAAAAAATAATATATTTGAGGACTAAAATGTTAAATTTTAAAAACGAAGACTCACAAGTTCAGAAAAATATAAATAGAATGGTCAGAACTGCATTTAAACCAATTTTAAAAATAAGATTATGAAGAGCTTGAATTTATCACCTAAGAAAATTTGTCTAAAATTTATGAAATTTAAATAATAAATTTTCTTAAATATACATTAGATTCTTTTATATAATATTTATTACATTACTAGAAGGTCAATAGATGTGTTTTTTATAGTGTAAAACACATTACACTATTTTTTTTAAGGATTAATTACAATACAAATTTTTTGCACAATCTGTACATCACAATCCTTCATTAATTTTATTTAATAAATAATTATATAAAAAAATATAATTTATAATCTAGATAATAATTTATTGACTGTGTAAAATTTCTTTACATTATCAATATATTCCGATTAAATTCTTTTTTTATATTGACAGTTGTTTTATTTATTTATTTATGTTTATTTTGTATATATATTTTTCTGTGATACCACGTGTCCTTTTTTGGATGCAATATAATATACAATATTCTAAAAAAAGATCATTTCTGTAATTTGTTTGGTTCATTGTTTTTCAAAATAAAACATAACCTGATTTTTTCCCATCAAATTCTAAATATTATTTTTTAAAAATTTTATATTGAATTTTAATCAACCAGTCAACGTTCAACCCATGTATCCGTTAAAGCAAAATAATTTATTGCTTTATCTTTTATTATATCTTTTTTCTTTTTATTTTTATTTTTTTTAAATTTTATATATGTTTAATAATTCAGTAAAATATTATTTTCCTGATATGACAATTATTTTTTTAACATTTGAAATATTAAGCGAATAGGGCAAATTTTGAGTCAAGTTTAATGAATGTTAAAAAGAAGGTTCGATACACTTTCCCAATTTAGATCAAATCCAATTATATTTTTTTACCAACTATTCCTAAAAGTTATTTAAACCCTTATTACCATCATATTTATTCTCATATTATCATAAAAATAAAAAGTATCACTTTGTTTTCTTTGTAGTTTCTTGAGTTTCAACACTTCACTTTACAAATTACTATTGGTTTCTTTTCTTTCACAATGACGCCTTCTATCGAGAAATATGGGCTTCCTCAACATTTTCCAGCTAATCTTAGGGTTCTTGTAATAGACCATGACATCACTCTTCTTAATGCTATTGAAAAAACGTGTTTTCAATTCCACTACCAAGGTTTGTAAATTTATTTATCTATCATGTCACATATTTAAATGTAAATTTAAGGTTTTAAATTTTCTACATAGATTTGTCTTGGTACTTATTTTTTATGTTTGTTTCTTCAGTTAAGACATGCTCTAAGGTTTCCGAGGCCTTGGATCTTTTGACAAATACAAATGATTGTTTTGATATGGTACTAATTGAAGCTCAAATGCCTGAAATGGATTCCTACGAATTTTTGCAACATGTCACACAAGAAATCAAGATCCCAGTTATTAGTAAGCAAACATTTATCATTAACTATATTATTATATTACATGAAACACTTATGAATGCAACATTGTAATTTATATATGTGATATTTATGTGCAGTGATGTGTGTTGATGGATCAACAAATGCTGTGATGAAGAGCATTGTAAAAGGAGCTTGTGATTATTGGATAAAACCTTTGAATGAGAACCAAATCAAAAATATGTGGCAACATGTTGCAAGAAATGTTTTGAAAGAAAATAAAAAACAAGGGAAAATGAATGTACAAGGTAACAAAAATTCAGGGGATGATTATTTAATAACAGAAGATTTTGAAACTCGTAAATATAAGCCGCAAACAGAGAAGTCACGTTTAGCATGGTCACCAGAATTGCATAAAAAATTTATTGACGCAGTGACTGAACTCGGTGCTGATAGTATGATTCTTTATTTATTATTGCTGTTTTTTTTCTATTATTTTTTTTTGAAAAAAAATATTTTTTATTTTTATTTTTTCCTTATTGTGGAATTTTTTACTTACTAACTTTTTTTCAGGGGCTGTACCAAAGAAAATTCAAGAAATAATGAATGTGGATGGATTGACTAGAGGCCATATTGCTAGTCATTTGCAGGTATTTTTTTATTTGACTTTTCCTTTTAATTTTCCAATAAATCTATTTTTCAATATTTAAGTTTTTTTTCTTCAAAAAATAGATTTTTTGTTTGACTTTTAATTTGTAATTTTTATTAATTGTTATGAATAACATTAGTATATTATTATTGATTGGCAGAAATATAGACAATATTTGAAGAGAGAAAATCTAGAGCAACACATTAGAATTGCTCAAAATATTATGGAATCCAACAATTCCTATGGATATTCTCCAGGATTTAATTATGGTGGTGCTTCTTCTTCTACTCATCACAACCAAAACCAAAATGCATTATTTAAATCACCATCAGCATTATGGCAAAACAATAATTCTCCTATAGAACAACTTCCCAACAATATGTTATGGCAGCAACCTCAAGAATATTCACCATCAAGATATGGAACATGGCAACAAGTTCCGATACCGTCGTTAACAACGGCTGCTTTAGGATCTTCTCCTGGTTTTTCTCCTTTTTATGGTGATGTTAACAGTGGAGGAGTCTCCTCCAGTGCTACTGTTGTTGTAGATATTGGTAACTCAACAAGGGTAGAGAATGAGGCGGAGCTGGATTCTATCTATGATTCACTAGAAAATAATATGTTATCTTGATCTTACTTTTAAATGCTAGTTTTTCATTTGAATGAATTATAAGATCAAAGTTTTAACTACATGCTTAATAAGAAATTTATTATTGTGATGAGATTGTAAACTTAGAATTTTGTTCAATGGCTTTTTTATTTGGCCAGTTATTAAATCAATCTCACATGTCATTGTTCATTTTGTTACATAATATATAATATTTATTATAGTTGTCATTAATTTTTTTTAGAGCATAGATATTTCTTATTGGTGCTGTTATTGTTGGTGCAAAGTGATGAAATTGAGGAAGAAGAGAGAAATATAGAATGACAATTGCTAATGATTGGTAAAGGAATTGAATAACATTAATGAGACCTAGGTACACCTATTTATACACAAAGATAACAAAGATAAGAATGCCACATAGGCCCTAAAAGAGGATAAACTTCCAAATATAGTAAATACTAAATTACCCTTTAATATCATCTCTTAATTTAGTATCTATCAGAAACTAACAACACCAATTTCATTTCTCAAATGAAGAAATTGGTCTGTTTTGATTGCCTTCGTCAAAACATCTGCCAGCTGTTTCTGGATGCTACAGTGCAGAACTTCTAACACTCATTTCTGCACTTGACTTCTAAGAAAGTGATACTTCGTCTCAATATGCTTGCTTCTTCCATCCAACACTGAATTCTTGACAAGATTGATTGCAGACTTGTTATCAATCAACAACTTCATAGGTTTCTCTATCTCAATCTTCAAATCCTCAAAAAGATTCAGAAGCCAAACAGCTTGTTATGCAGCTACAACACCTGCAATGCACTCAGCTTCACACGTTGACAGAGTCACAACAGACTGTTTCTTGGAACTCCAAGAAATAGGAGCTCCCAGAAACTTGAACAAGTAACCAGAAGTACTTCTTCTGTCAACTCTCTCTCCACACCAATCAGAATCAGAATAACTCACTAATTCTGGTTCTGTCTTTCTTCTAGAAGGAAATAACACTTCATATTTCAGAGTTCTCTTGATATACCTCAGAATCCTGACAGCAGCTTGGTAATGAGACCACTTCGGTTTACTCATGAATCTGCTAACCATTCCAACTACACAGAAAATGTCAGATCTGATATTGCACAAATACTTGAGAGAATCAACCAATTGTTTGAAGGTCGTAGCATCCACAGAATCACCATCAGAATCAGAATCCAATTTATGATTGGTTTCTGATGGTGTCACAGCAACTTTACAATTTTGTAGCTTAAATCTCTTCAGAAGTTCAAGTTCATACTTCAGCTGATGTAGAATAATACCCTTCTTTGAGTACAGAATCTCCATTCCTAGAAAATATACCATATTTCCCAGATCTGTCATCTCAAACTCATTCATCAGAACTTCTTTGAACTTGATTATATCTTCTGGACAACTTCCTGTTAGCAATATGTCATCAAAATATAGACACACCAGAATCACATTGCCACCAGAATGCTGCACATACACGCCATATTCCATCTCACATTTCTGAAGCTTTTGCCTCTTGAAAAACAAATCAATTTTCAGATTCCAAGCTCTGGGCGCTTGTTTCAATCCATACAAGGCTTTATGTCACTTGTATACCATCCTTTCCTAATTCTTTTTCACAAATCCAGGAGGTTGTGACACATATACCTCTTCTTGTAATGGACCATTCAGAAATGCAGACTTCACATCCAGATGTATCAAAGACCAATTTTTGTTTGCAGCTAAAGCCATCACCAGTTTGATTGTTTCATGTCTAGCTATAGGCGCAAACACCTCAAAGTAATTTAGCCCAGGTTTCTGAAGAAATCCTCTAGCCACTAGTCTCTCTTTGTGTTTTCCAATTGATCCATCTGGCTTAAGTTTCACCTTGAAAACCCATCTGACGTTGATGGCTTTCTTCTTTTCTGGAAGCTTTGTCAACTTCCAAGTTTTGTTTCTTTCAATAGCCTCAAGTTCTTCCTTCATGGCATTCAACCATATTTTCTTCTTGAGAGCTTTTTCAATATCCACTGGTTCAGAATCTACTAACATGGCACATTGAACGACTTCTCCTTCAGAATCTACTTCAGTGTCATGCAACATGTTAAAATCTGCAAACCTACTTGGTATTTGTCTGATTCTCTGTGGCCTCTGAACTTGTTTTGAAGCTTCTCCAGAACTTGGAACAGTGCTAGCTTCTGGACCTTATCCAGAATTACTTCCTTCAGAATTACCACCTTCAGAGTTAATTCTTGAAGCTTGTCCTCCAGACCCTATGTCTTCAGAGTTTTCCCTTCCAAAAATATAATCACCACCAGATTCTGGATCATCATCAGAATCTGGATCAAAATCAGATCCACTATCAGAATCTCCCCGAGATTCTGACTCATCTTCAAAGTCTTCAGAATCAGATTCATCTTCTGACTCTGACTCGTCTTCAGAACTTTCTGAAGAATCTTCAGAAACTAACTCTGGTGTTGGCGCTACACCAGAATCTGATTGAGACTTGTTCCAATCCCATGTTTCTGACTCTTTCACAATAACGTCTATGCTGATTTCAACTTTGTTAGTTTATGGACAATAAAGCTTATAAGCACTTGTACCGTGGTACCCACCAGTAACATTACTTTGCTTCTATCATCCAGTTTCTGTCTTCTAGCTTATGAAACGTGTTTGTAACATACATAACCAAACACCCTCAAATGGCTAACACTTTGCTTATCTCCAGTCCACTTTTCTAAAGGAACAATTTCCTTCATCTTCTTCGTTGGATACCTATTCAGAACATATGCTGATGTGGCAACAACTTCTCTCCATAACATGTGAGGCAGCTTCTTCTCTTTCAGCATACTTCTGGACATATCAAGCAAAGTTTTGTTTCTTCTTTCAGCAAGACCATTGTGCTGAGGAGTATATGGAGCAGTAACCTCATGTTTTATTCCATTCTCCTCATAGAACTTCTGGAACTATGTAGAGTTATACTCACCTCCACCATCTGTTCTCAGAATCTTCAACTTCTGACCACTCTGCTTCTCGGCCTTCACCTTGAACTTCTGAAACTCAGTAAACACTTCATGCTTGAACTTGATGAGTGTTACCCATGTCATTCTTGTGAACTCATCCATAAAAGACACAAAAATTTGTTTCCTCCAAATGAAGATACTGGAAATGGTCCACACACATCAAAATATACTACTCCTAAAGCATGCTTCGCTTTGGGGGCTACTTCTGATGCAAATGGAAATCCGGGTTGCTTGACTTTCATGCATATCTCACATGACTTCTCAGGCTTCACAATCTTCGAAATTCCATGTACAATCCTCTTAGAACTTAGATGCCCTAAGCTTATATAGTTCAAGTGCCCCAACTTCTTGTGCCATAACTTACTGTCACCTTCAACGCCTTCTGCACTAAGACAGTCTGCTTCAGCTGTTTCTACATTCACCTTGAATGTTCTGTTGCTTCCCTGCTCAAACTTCATAATCAACTTCTGATTGGAATCATATAACGTCAAGAGGTTGTCCTTCATAACAACTAAGAAACCTTTCTCAATGAGCTGACCCACACTCATCAGATTGCTTTTAATTCTAGGAACATACCAAACATCTTTGATCATAATGTTTTTCCATTCTTCACTCTGACTCTGACATTTCCTATACCTTCAGCATTAAGATACTTATCATCAGCACATCTGATCTTTGTTCTGCTTCTGGAGTCAAAGTCTATCAGCCATTGTTTGTTCTCTGTCAAGTGGTTTGAATAGCCAGTGTCCATATACCACCAATCTTCTGAACACTTTCCATCAGAATCAGAAGCCATCAGTAGCACAGGTTCATCATCAGAATCTCCTCTGACTATATTTGCTTCTTCTGATTTCCTTGCTTTGTTTCTACAATCTCTGGCAAAATGGCCAAACTGTTTACAACAGTAACATTGAACCTTCTTCTTGTCATACCTTTCCTTTCCCTTCTGATATTTCATTTCATCAAAAGTTGAGGTTTCTGACTTCTGGAATTTATCACCACGTCTATTCTGCTTATGGTCCTTCTTGACAAAAGAAGCCTTCAGAGCTTGCTCAACTTCCCTCTCAGAAGTTCTTTCAGTCAGACGCAACTCTTGGGCTTCTAGACTGCTTTGCAACTCTTCTATTCTCATGGTTTCCAGATTTTTAGAATGTTCAATAGAAACAACAATGTAATCAAACTGAGGAGTAAGCAACTTCAGAATCTTCTCTATGATTACCTGTTCAGAAAGTGTTTCTCCACAAGCCTTCATCTCATTAGTGATCAGAATCATTCTGGAGATATACTCAGAAACTTTCTCACTGTTCTTCATGTTGAGATTCTCATATTGCTTTCGCAGGGACTGAAGCTTCACCTTCTTCACTGATGCGTCACCACCGTAACATCTGACCAGTATATCCCATGCCTCTTTCGACGTAGTCGAATGAGCAATCTTCTCAAACACACATTCATCCATACAATGACTGATATAGAACAGAGCTTTCTGATCCCTCTTCCTCGTAGCTCTTTCTGCATATCTCTGTTCTTCAGTAGTATCTGCTGCAACTGGAACATAACCATTGGTAACAAGATCCAGAACATCTTGAGCACCAAACAACACACGCATCTATCTCATCCATCTGTTCCAGCTTTTTCCATCAAAAACTGGAAGTTTAGTGTTCAAACTACTGCCTCCACTCATCTTAAACCTTGCACAAATCTTAGATCTCACTCAGTGTTTCCCAAACCCACAAAATCAGTGTGATTCTATTCAAATTTTGTTCAAGATTCAACAAAAATCAAGAACCAAAATCAAACACATAGCTCACTTTCACCAGTGTTTCCCAGAAATTCGGAACAACCAAGAGCTCTAGATACCAATTGTTGGTGCAAGGTGATGAAATTAAGGAAGAAGAGAGAAATATAGAATGACAGCTGCTAATGATTGGTAAAGGAATTGAATAATATTAATGATACCTAGGTACACATATTTATACACAAAGATAGCAAAGATAAGAATACAACATA